GCTGATTTTTTTCCTTACAATATATTATAGTTAACTTATGATACTTTCAAGTTACGATTCTAAAGTTTGGTTTTATTATCTTTTGGAAGTGTTTTTTTTGGATTGTTTCAGATAAAACATTTCGAAAAAGTTCTTTTTTCATTGGAACAGTGTGATATATCTATGGGAATTTTGGCTTCTCAGTATATACTACTTTTATGGATGATAATTTTATGCAATAATCCGTTCGATTTAAACAAGTTTGGAATGAAGAAAGGAAGAACGGTGGTGGAAAGAATAATTGCTACCACACTGCCATTTTTATATTCAAGCTCTGAGAAGTTTCAGGTCAGTCACAAGTTTTTTGTCTTACATTTCTTTTATAAATTTAAATACTTTAATATTTTTTATTTGAATTTGTGTGTAACTTTTTATCTCATTTATTGAATAGAAATAATAATAAGATTTTTACAGCGTGTTGCTGCTTTGCTACTTTCTTTAGTCGCAACTCGTGAAGATGCATGTAGAGAACATTTAAAGAAATTAGTTGACCGGTGTGTTTCGACTATTGAAATGTGCGGAGATAAGTGGTCTGGTGATAATAAACTTGTTGGGAGTTTATGTTTGCTTGCATCAATTTTAAAAAAGGTCAAGTTCAGCCTTGTTCAATGAAATCTGGATCAAAATATTTTGAATAAAAAATTTTAAAAGAATACTGGTGTAATTGTAGCACACTAAAATAAACTTTTTCATATAAGAGGAAGTTTTTCAGGGAAAGCGCGAAGATTTATCAGTCATAGCTCGTTCTGTGTCGAAAATTATGCATCATTTTAGTGATCTGGGGAATACAGATTTTACTGTGAAGAAGTTCGCTGTTAAAGTTGCTCAAAGATTAGGAATGGTATTTTTGAAACCAAAAGTACGTATATTGCTTCATTAATTGTTGTGTTTCAGGATGACTTTCTTAATTTTAATAAATTAAGATTGCAAAGTGGCGATATGATCGTGGTAATCGTTGCTTAGATTTCATGAATGCTTGTTCCAACAAACGGCAGGAATCAATTTTTTTAGAATCAGAAGATTTTTCTGACGAAGTTTATGAAGTCCCACATGGAGAAGTTTGCATTGATGATTTTTTTTAAATCAAATTCAATATGAAAGTTAGCTAAGGATTTGGATATTATTTTCAGTTAAGTTTATTACTGTAAAACTATGTATCGTTTGTACGATTTTCATTTTTTTGCTTGATATAAAGTTCTCTTCACATTTCGAACGTGAAGATTTATATAGCTGTTTTGTATACGTTGTGTGTAATTGATCTTTTAGTTGGAAGCAGTTTTGGACACAATTTTAAGAGCCTTACGCGATCGATATACTGATATACGTTGGACCGGTGCGAAAGGCGTTGGACGTATTGTATCCCGATTGCGAAAAAGTCATGCAAACGATGTACTTTCAAATATCTTCAAATTTAATTTTGATTCGCTCGCAGGTAATGCTGCATGGCATGGTGGATGCTTAGCTGTAGCTGAACTTGCAAGACGTGGTTTTCTACCGCTAGAAAAACTTCCTGATGTTTTGGGAATTGTCAAAAATGTATGTTTGTTGAAAAGTTGTATTCTACCTTCCAACATAATTTATGATTGTCCTCTGTTAGATATTATTTAAAAGATAAGAAAGGTATTTTTTGAATCAGCGTAATTCATTAAATGATTTCATGATAAACCAATTTTGTAGGTTAGTAAAAATACACTGTTTAGGCATTAGTGTTTGAAGAACCACAAGGACATCATGCTTTAGGTGCTAATGTGCGAGATGCTGCATGTTTTATATGTTGGTCATTAGCTCGTGCTTTTCGGCCTTTAGATTTGAAGATTTACATAGAGCAAATCGCTTCAAGTCTAGTATGTGCTGCTTTATTTGACCGAGAAATTAATGTAAGGAGGTGATAATTCTATCTTTAATTTTTAACATGTAGTTTAATCTGCATTTATGTGTGCAATATAGGTACGCTTTATAAAAATATATTTATTTTCTTTACAATTTTTCATGATGGCATTTTGATTCTTGCTTTATTTTTGAACATTTGGACTTAGTTAAGTACTTTGTAAACAACAATGTCCTTTTCATCAGTTTTTTGTGTTCCTGACTGCAGTTTGTTTTCAGAGCAGCTAGCGCAGCGTTTCAGGAACATGTTGGTAGACAAGGAGGATTTCCCAACGGAGTTGATGTGCTCACAAATATTGATTATTTTGCTGTTGGGCAGCGTTCTAAAGCTTATTTGGAAATTTCATGTCGGATAGCAAAATATCCATTGTACACACAAGCGATTATTGAACACCTCACGTTTCATAAGGTTTTCTTAATAATTAGAGATAATTGCTGGCTTCAGATTGAGAAAGTTTTTCTCTCTTAAATATTAAATGTATTGTTGTTCATACTGTAAAAAATTTACAAATTTTGGTAAAAATCTTCATTGATTCAGTATTTCATATAACATATTCTGCTAAATTTCATTTCTTGTTACAGATAACACATTGGGATGAAGAAATTCGCATTTTAGCTGCTGAAGCTCTTCATCGGCTTTGTGCTTCAAATCCATCGTTTGTTTCTACTCATGTAATACTTATCTTTGAGTGTACTAGCTTTGTTTTTGATCTGGATCAAAACTCCAAAAAAACTTTGTAGATCGTTAAAAATTTGATGCCGTTGATCAGTAACGACTCTCTTATTATTCAACAAGGAGGAATTGTTGCACTAGCATCTGTTTTATCGGGGTTAAAAGAATGTAAATGCATTTTGGGAAAAGATATATATGAGACTGCTGCAAAAATACCTAATTTAATTTATCCCATCTGTGAAAAAAGAGTTCGCTCATTAGGATCTAGACTAATGCGACGCGCGATGAATGTTTTTATCAAATTATTGTCATCTGTGATACCCAGAGAACTTGTCGTGGTAATTATTTCCATAGTGTGCTGTTTTCTTTTTAATGCTATTGTCATCACTTTTCTTCTGCACCTAACAGTTGTGTCGTGATTTTAAAGATTATTGGAATGAATTAGACGCACTTTTAGTTTGCTCAAAAATCATACCAATATTTTAGGAAGAAATTAAGTGCTAAGTTACAAATTAAGGTTTATTTTCGAGAATGATCAAACAGTACGGAGATTTTTGTAGATTGATGATTGGCTTCGTTGCCTAGAACTTAATTTTTGTGATGAGCATGAAGATATTAGAAAAGGTGCTTGTCAGGCGGGATCAGCTTTTTTTAAAGTTTGTACTGACAACTCTTCTGCCAATCTGCTGATGCTTCGCATCCGTCAAGTTTACTTACCTCAGGTGTGTGCCTCATGATATATTTACTTTTATTTCCTTGTTTTTATAAATAACTTACAAATCTTTCTCTCATCATATTTAGTTAAAATTGATTTGTAAATGTCGAAATTCCAAATTTTTAGTCGTTTACTGTTGCAGTACTGATCCGCATGAGATCTTCTAACTATTGCTTCATCTAAAGGAATTCTGTTGAATATTCATTTGAGAAAGTATGAAAATAGGAAAGTTGAATCTGCGGGAATTCGCTTTGGCACAAGTTACAATAATTTAGCAAAGCAAAATGACCGCTGTTTTTTGTAGATTATTTCCATAAAACTGACTCCTCAGTGTAACGCCATATGTTTCCTATTGTCTGAAGTTTTTAAGATTATATGTCAGAAGAAGGAACAAGAAGAGTTGATACTCGTGGTCCTTATGATGCAACAATAGTTAGGATTATAAATCTTTCAAATTTGTTTTGTCTTTTATAACACTGCGGTCATGAAGTTAACTTGCATTATTGATAGATCACTGTTACCAATGTAGAATCAACTAGGGAAGGGATAGCAGCTCTCTTAAGTGTTCTTCCAAATCAAATATTGTTGCTTACAACACAGTTTTGTCCTTTGGCAGTTGAAATCATTCGTACACTCATCATCATAGTCAATCAGTAAGTTGTCTTGTCTTCGTTAAGGTTTTTAATTCTTTTTTTCGAAATCGTATCGTCAACATTGACGGTTCGGTTTCATTAAAAATGCTAAATATCAAAATATAACTTGGTAACAATTTAGACGCTCTTCATTAGACGTTACTTGGGCTTATGGACGTCGTTCTTGTGTAGAAGCAATAACTCATATTGTTGAATCAGTTGGATTTGAATTGCTTGGCAACCCTAGTGAGGTTCTTGATTGGTATGTCGATTTGCTTAGGAGATTTGTTTATATATATGACAATCCTTGTTTTTAATTCGCATTTGCATTTTGACAGAAGTAGAACATTTTCCACTCTTTTGTCCAATATTAATTTTTTGATTTTTTTTGTATACCATATAATTTTAGTCTCGTAAATTCTTTGAACGATTATTCAATGGACAAAAGAGGTGATGTTGGCAGAGTTTTGCGTGAAGAAGCAATGAAAGCTCTCGCAGTTGTTCTGCCAATGATGCAGAAATATTCTGTTGATCATGATCGCATTTCGGAAGCAATATGTAAAATTATCCAACAATCTACTGAAAAAATTGATGCAACTCGTGAGGTTGCTTTTTCAAAACGCTTAAGAGGGAATTTTTTGCAATGTAATAAGATGAATGACTAATTAAAAGACCTGAAATCATGATTTTTTTTCTGTCTATGTTTCCTTTACATCTTTCAGTGCGCTGCTTTGGTGATGAAAAAGCTTCTTCAGTCAAGCTTAAGAGATATTAAAGAAGAACAAATTTTGAAAGAAACATATGTAGATGGTAATTCGGTGGTAGAGTGGAGATTACCATCTTGTTTCCAGCGATTGGCTTTATTATTAAAAACTAACTGCTATAGATATCATGCCTTAAGAGGGTTTGTTATATCTGCTGGTATGTAATTACTTAAAATTTTTGATGGATATAGAACTCCCGTAAAAAGTAGGAATATCATAAATTTTGTCGTAAATTTTAGGTGGCCTCACTGAATCAACCGTCAGAGGTGCATCGGATGCATTGCTTTCAGTGATTTTTGATATTCGTCATTCACAGCAGGTTAGTAATCTATAAATTGTATATAAATTCCATCATCAATTACACCTTTTGCATAAGTTTTATTAATTTAAAAGCTGTGTATATCAAAATTGAACAAAATAATTGTATCTTCAGGATATAGAAATATTTTTGCAATGTTTTGCATCAATTTTTATTAATAATGCGGGTGTGGTACGCGTTATCCAACCTCTGTTGCATACACTGGAGCAAATTTTGTCTGCGCAGCTTTTAGAATGTTATGAAGCAGATCCAGATTTATCACCATCTCTTCAAACAATAGTAGATCATATTGCAGTCGTACGTATCAATCTTATATATTAGCCTCAGATTTTGTTAATAACTGTATAAAGTCGCACATCTGTTTATTACTTCAAAATTTGAAAAAAATACCATGTGTGCACTTTTTGTTACTTAACACACGCTTAAATTTTGTTGGCGAAAAGGAATGAAATCTTATTTTTCAGGAAGCTCTAGGGAAAGGAGGAATTCAGAAAGTCAGATCATGTATTGCCGTTTCATGTCATTTCTTACATTTCAACTCAGCAAGTCTCTTGTGGCGAAAATCAGCATTATTAGTAAACTTTCATTTATTGTTTCTTAATATTTTGTAAATCTTTATTAAGTTTTATTGGTTTGTAGATTATTTACTGTCATTCATTCATTCGCATTATTCGACAGGTTCTTAAATGTAAAAAGTACTAGGTTGTACGCACTTTGAAATCACGTTATCCTACTCTTCGTCGATACGCAGCGGAGCAGCTCTATGAATGTTTAGTGTCGGAATGTGATATCAGTGATGAAGCAGAAAAGGATAAGCGCGAAAAACTACTTAAATTACTTTCCGAAACAAAGTGGCAAATATGTGATGATCAGTACTTTGTAGAAGTTAGTAATTTGGTCAGTGATATGCTTAGTATAGCAGCTACCTGATATTTTGTCACATTTAAGATTATGAATATTAACAGATTTCCTTATTTTATAGCCTCTCGGGGTGAAAACAATGTCAGATAATCATTGAAACTCTTAACCTGGAGAGTGATAGAATTATTCTGTGTACAATATTTCGACTAAGCAAATCTCCATCAGTTATATTTATTTTGTAGCAGTTGCGAACTGTTTGATGAAAGTATTTAGAGCGGTTACTAAAAGCTTTGGAGGTAAGTTTATCGACAGCTTGAATTACTGTAAGAAACTTTTATTGGAATAACAGACGGTTCTTTAAAACAGTACTTTTGACAACTTATGATCAGTGATTTTGAATGATGCGTCAATTTGTTTGTTCAAGTTTAACAAAAAGGTCCGTGCATTATTTCGATCTTTCCTAATAATTCAAAGGAATCAAATAAACTGTATATCTGTCACTGAACCGGTTCGAAGATTAAACGGGATACCAGTCCCGTGTGTTATGATTAGTGGGCATTAACGGATTTTTCTTAAAGAAGCCAGATGTTTCGAGCTCATGTACAGGAATATCATTATTTTGCGGCTCTTTTTCTATGAATGTAAGGAGGGCATCATGACTCTAATAATGGAGATACGTGACAAGTTCTCTCTAACTTGTTAATTTGTATTCAGTGGCAATAGAATTTTGTGGATTACATCTGTCTAAAAAGTAAACAAAAGATCATTAACCTTAAAAAAGGATTTTTACTATTTTCTGTGTTAAAGGAATCAACCCACCATTAACTAGTGATACTACTACAACGTGTTCTGAATGCGTATTTAAGAGATCTTGCCAGTTAGTATGTGCAGAGCGTTAATAGAGTTTTTAGTTCAATACGAAAATGTATCTCAGTATGATAAAGTGGGAGTCAGAACCTGAGAATCCCAAGGAAATTTTTAAACTTCAAGGTCTGACCACCAACTTAGAGCTACAAAACGAAGTAGATCTCGCAGTAAAGCTAGCGTAGAAACCTGCTAATTTGGTACTGTGAACTACTCTTGGATTTTGGTGACAGGCAATAAATTTGTATTCCAATCCAATATCGCTAAAATCTTTCAGTCCAATATCTTTAAACGATGCTCGCATATTACTACATAACTTGATAAAACTTAGAAAACTCAGAAAGAGGCCTTTTTCACTTTTGAATTCGAGATTTTTTAACAAGGAACAACTCTAGCCACAAACTCTAAAACAATCAGCATTGGCATGTACTGTACATAAAAGTAACTATAAAACAACGAACTTAATTCTTATCAGTAGTAGTTAACCGTGCAATAAGGTGACGTATACGTTTTCTTTCTTCATCAGCCTCAGCACCCAAATTAATTTCATAATCTTCCAGAATCTAAAAAGAAGGACAAGAGACTTAAACAAGTCATACATGATTTTAATTTTAAAAAATAAAACTTGAAAAATGATTGGACACTTCAAATTACTAACCGGGACGATGTATTTGCTAATTTTAGCATTTCCAGTGCGCATTTGCAATAACTTAAGGGCTCGATTACGGCAACCAGAAGTAGCATTCACACATACATCTGCAATAATTAATGCGATTCGCTGCAACGTATACAGACCAGCATCTAATTTGTCTAAATACAACAGCTCTATTTCTTCATCAGATTGTTTTCTTGACATCTTGCTCGCTTGACACGCTTCAAAACGGTCAACACGCTCTCTGAAATCGTATAAGCTAAAAATTGAATAGATGTGTTAAAATGACTGATGCGATCTTCGAATTCAACATTTTCTTTTATTAGAAAAACTTTCTTTGAAGAAAAAAAAGCTATCATGATTACAATATCAGTCTTAGCCTTGAATGATTTACAATATCAGTCTTAGCCCATAACATTTGCATGACTTGAAAGAAACTTTTTTTCGTTTGTTAGAGTCATTTAGAAATACCAACTGATATTTCAGTACAAGCTCGATAGCACGATCTACTTTCTCAAATTCATGTTCGCAAAATTTCGAAAATATTCGATTGCGTCCTTCATCATTACATGATCGTAGTAAAGAAGCCAAGACCTGAAAATTTCTATGAACAATTTTGCTAACATGTTTCAGTTTTGTGGAATTTTTTTCCTGAAAAATGCAATTACCGAACAAACATGCTCTTCATGTTCATCTGGTGTTGAATCTTTTCGTTTTTTCTTTGAAGGAGTCCTCATGAATAGAGGAAAAATTGTCCGCAACCCTGTAAGACATTCCTGTAATGGTTTTGAAAGATAAATCAAGAAAAAACGTATTCAAAGCATCATCAAATGAAACTTTTTAATATTAAAAAAATTAATGTACCCTTTACAACTTTCTCATCACTCCTTTACAAAATCTTTTAGCACTCGCTAGTAAAAAATTTCCGGCTATGTCCACAAAGAAACAATGTAAGCTAACCCAGAATTTCAATGAATTTTATGCAATTAGATTTCCCTTCTGCACCATTTGTAGCGTAATCTAGCACTTTTAGTGCACTTTCCCGAGACTGTTTACGTTCTCTAAAAATTGGAAACTTTTCAGAAGCATTTACGTATGAAAATAGATCGAAAACATGATAATAAGGTGAGAAACAATTCAAAGTAAATATGGTGCTACTTACTCACCTTAACATGAGATTCATCAACTGCAGACCTTCACCATCTAGAAATTTCTGTCTGTTTGGCCCATACATAAGTGCTGCACACACAGCATCAAACAAGTTCTCCATATGTTCCCGTTCATCCATACTCGCTGGATCATGACGTTTGTAAGTAGCCAAAGCCTAAAGAATTCCGAGGGAACTTAAGTTCATTTTTCTAATGAGATTTAATGAAAAACAATTAATTTCTAGCTTCTTCCATTGGTATTCAAGCTACTTTTTCTGGCACATAAACCTAACAACAAAGAAAAAGTGATTCATACTAGAAGAGATTTTGAAATCTAACATCCTTTTACTTACTCGTAGTAAGAGATCAAATCCATCAATTTTTTCTGTCAAACGTCTTCTAGCCAGCTCAGTTGACTGTAAAAGCGAAGCAAGTAATTCACTGGCAAACATTTTATTAGCATCCAAGGGTCCTCGTAATGTTCCACGACGAAGAAGCCATGAAAATAAGCCTTGCTCGACACAAACATTGGCAAAAGCTGGACGAAAATCCAGGACCTTTCATGAAAGGAAAATTTTTGGTGTAAAAATACAAATACCTTCCCATACTTTTATAATCGACTGAAATACAGTATGCAATGTATTCAGTAAAAATTTTTAGACATTTTTTACTCGTGTTTGCTTGCACCAACAAGTCTGATAGCTGATAATTTTAAATTCACAATATTGCCACGACAAATTTTCTTTCAAGAAAAAATTAACTTATTCTTGAGAGATTCGCAGTATGTTAAAAAAGAAGAAGTACGATAAAGGAACATTACATAAAGATTTGAATTAAAGCAGCGACCTAGAAATGAATTCAGCTTACATTTTCTACAACCGATAAAGCATTGTGAATTGCATCTGCTTCATCCTTCACATTCTCGTCCAAATGCTCCATGCTCTGTTGTACCAAAGTTTCAATAAGTTGGCCGGCAACTAATGTATCAATCAGTTTTGCTGCACCATGATTACCTTCATTCAACGTATCGACATCTGTCAATTCCTAAAATAAGAAACAAAAAAACTTGCGAAGTATATGCAAATTCCTGTTTAGAAGCGCTATATTTATCACTAATTAACTTTTCACAAAACAGATTGAAAACCTTACAGGCAAAACTCAAAAACCAATTTTGAAGTATAAACCTATTACTTCATTTTATTGCAAAAGACTTATAGTATTGAATAATTGTTATATCATCATATGATTCGAAAAACCTGTAAAAGATTGATAACAGCCGCGACGATATCTGAGTTTTCATGGGTTAATAGTTGCAGAAGAGGTTTACAAGCTCCAAGGTCTACAAGCAAGCTATACAAGCTAGGCTCTGTAGCAATTGCATGCATTTCCTTAAATTATAGCATTAAACTGTATCACTCTGAAAAACCCTGATTGTGCAGATTTTATTTCATTACGAACAAAACTAATGTAAGACTGGAATTTAACCTGCACTGTTTCATTCAACTCAATTTCGCTTTCCATGAATTTTGATGGCTCCTCAACGTATTTAATTCGCATTTCTCGATTTCTCAAACATCGTTTCTCAAGCTAAACAAATGTCAATTTTACGATTCACTTGACTGAAACAAATTACTGCTAAATAAGATAAGAGACACAGGTGCACCTGTGCAACAATTCGTTTAACGGTAACTTCATCAACTACTACAGATTGCGACACGTCATGTTCTAGTGCTGCTAATATATCATCTGCATTTGCAGTTGCTGCTGTCAAATTTGTAGCATCTATTCGACTTCGCTTGGGAGGAACATCCTATGAGTAAAATTATTAACCGTTAGAAAAAAAGTAAATCCTTTTAATTTTATTTCACAAATATTTTGTGCGTTTCAAAAAAGTTACACAACCACCTGTTAGTAAGAAATTTCGGGAACAAAAAACTTCATTTACCTCAGTGGAAGCCTTCAAAATTTCTGTAACGTCGATAGATGACATCTTTTTGTCACAATTAAATAAAAGATATGTCCAACGTTTCCATAAAAACAAAACCAAATATTCAAGAATTTATATTTATATAATTGTCTTTACCATGAGAATGATGACAATAAAATTCAAGATCACTTTTCAAAAAAATCTCATGATGCAAATAATACCGAAGATACTTTTTCTAAATATTATCTATAAAGTAATCTTCGTTTCTGATAACCTGAAAATGTATAATTTCTGAATATGCATACTTTTCAGATATTACCAAAAATTAAAAGTATTTGCTGAGAGCAATAATTGCCACTAATGTTGGAATCGCTTAATGGATTATGGGAGCAACATATGTAAAGGATATGAATAAACGGAGAAAGTGATGAAAATGTAAACCACAAAGTAATAACAAACAGAATGCTTCAGATTTCAAAGTGCAGAAGACTCTTTGCTAGCCATTACACTCACACTGCACTCACTCAGCAATTTAAATGAACTAATCCTATCCAGAGAACACCAAACTTCTACCCACCAATATCTTTTACACAATCTAAGATTAATTCAAAAATGGAGTCATTTTTTGATACGGTCCGTTATAAATAGTCGGCGTCTGAGAGATGCATTATATTACTTTTGATGACCAGAGTGAGGCAACCAGTTTGGAGCTTTGCTGTATAAATTTTTGAGATGAACTGTGAGAGAAAGGGAACTGAGTCACACAAAGAGATCAGAAATGCTTTATAAATTTTCGTTTTCATTCAATACTGAAATAATTTGATGACAACTTGAAGTAGTCACTTCAAGTGCTGCAATGTAATTAAGTAGCGATGGAATTGCGTCAAGCAACGATGGGCATTGGCGGCAATTATAACTGATTAATAATTAAGATACCAATTATTGTTATTACTGAAAGGTATTTGAAAAAGTCTCTTCAAGTTGTTCCGAAACAGTTAAGGCTTTACAAGTCTGCACTCTTTACAGGCATAACTTATTAGTAATAATAATAGTGGTAGTACTATAACTGCAACGGTATGATAAGTGAGGCCACAGAACGCGTTGTTGGCATGGAGAAGGAGGCACACAGTCGAGACTGCTGTTTGCCGATGTCACGTCTTCGAGGCTAGGCTTTTCTATCGATTCGGCTAGGCCTTAGTGTGCGGGTCCTTTGGTTGACTAAGTAATGACACTCTCTGCTTCACTCCTTATCTCTCAAACCTCTTGTTTTTTTATCATTCTTGCGAGTACACAATAGATGAGTACTGACCTTTAATTAGTCCATTACTTGACACTGTTCACCTCACTGAGCGGAAATGTCATACATTGGGCACTATTTGATAGAGCAGAATTGCTTGCGCATTTACTTGAATTCTCAAGAGCGGTTTTTGCTAAAGTAACTGATGTCACTGTACTTGATGGTCAGTCAAAGTGCATTGCCTCGCAGCGTATTAAATATTCAAATGTTACTATGAAGTTAAAAACAAGAGGTTAAAATGCTGGGAAGCAGATAATGCAAAAAAAGCCCAATAATGTATGTAACTTTTCTGAACGTCCCACATTAGGCGATGAGAAAATGATAGTTTTGTTTAGTGGTAAACATGCAGTTTCTGGGAGATATTAATTTTTGAAAATGTACATTGTAAGCAATTCTTGTTATAATTTTATACCGGATTTCCAAATAAAACAATGCCATTTATCAAGTGAAAATACTACTACCGTCTATGCATCTCATCTTTAAACTGTTGATATTCCTGTCAATTGATCAATGAATGAGGTATATGTTGGTTAATTATTTAAGTTTTGAACTACATTTTGTTTAACATAATAAACGCATATTTGAGTGAGAGTCAGGAAAAAGTAGGAAACGGATAGGAACCTTAGTACCAGAAGTTATTTACTGATTTGTTACTAATCCATATGCAAATGTAAATCAAATAATTTCAAGCAAAAGAAACTGGGAGCCATATGAATTTCCTTTACGGTACTTTGATGATACGCAACGTATTCGTATGTCCAGCACCTGTAATAATTCTATTTTAACATTCCCTACATAACTTGCCTTCAACACTTAGTACAATTCTGCAAAAAAATTAAATTCTATTTCTAGATCGACCAATAAGACAACAAATACAATTAAAGTCTCATCTAAAATAAATATCAAACTTCAAATGACAAAAACAAAACGATGGGCTCTGCCTTTTCACCGCTGATGAAATGATAAAATTAAAATTGAACTTCGAAAACATTTATTAATAATAATACCTTGTCTCCAACCAGTAATGACAACAACTAAATCGTCTCTCTTGATAAAACCGCGGGTTTTACCAATCGATAGACCATAGCTGATTCGGGCATCAACATCGCTTGACCAGTCTATTTCTCGACTAGCTTTAAAAATTAGAATGTTCACATTTATATCCCAAATAAATGTTTTTTTCAAAATACATTTATAATACTTGTGATATTTATGCATGCACTATCATGACAAAGATGATTGAAAAACTTTTATTATCCAGCTGGCACAAGAAAGTTTAGAATACTATACCTTCATAATGAAGGGGAAATATTCCACGCAGAAGATGAAGTTGTCGAGCAACTTGTTCATCCCGACATACCGCGAATACGGGCATCATCGGGCGATAGCGTGATACCAAACTGGCCGATCTGAGAAACGAAAACATGCAACTCAGACATTACATAGAAGTCTTTTATTACATAAAGTCTGTAATCTTTAAAGTAGGTTGAATGAATATCTGATAACAGCGAAAAATTGAACCTTCCTGTAGTGGTCACTAGAATCATCGCACTGGCATGACAGGATGTAGCTGCTGAAGTCGCAGCGATTGCAACTGTATGCGCGATATCCGTTGGTTTTGAAGTTATATGCATCAGCTCCTCGAAAAATCGTGTGTGATATACCGCTGCTTCTGCTTCCTTGCATATCTACAAAAAATTTATTCAGAAACAGAAAATACGAATATATTCTTCTAACTTCATAATTTAATGTCATGTGAAATGTCAAACCACTGAAATACAGAAATAAAAAAAGTACTGTCCTACCTGATGCATGATTTTCAGTGCTTCTACCGGATAATCACCTTTCGCTGTTTCACCGCTAAGCATGACGCAGTCGGCACCATCCAAAACAGCATTTGCTACATCACTACCTGGATTCATTACAAATGAACATAAAAATTGTATCAATGAATAAGCTTTTACACACGCTTCATTCACACAAATTTTCAGACCATTCTCTTTTCAAAAAAAAAAAAATCAAACTGATTGAATTAAAAGATAGGAACCTTCAGCACGAGTAGGTCTTGGCTTTTTCACCATTGATTCAAGCATTTGTGTAGCACAGATAACTGGTTTTCCCGCTCGATTACATTTAGCAATCAACATTTTCTGCGCCAAGAATACTTTTTCGGGAAGGATTTCTATGCCTAAATCACCTCTTGCTACCATAATACCGTCAGCTTCCTCGATAATTTCATCGGCCCTAGAAAACAAAATTAAACTTATTTCACTTTCTTATAAAAGCAATAGCAATATAATTTCAAATTTCTAGTCTAAACACATGATCCAAATATCGTGCCACAGAGTCATTTGATAACAGCTGAATGATAACAAAGTTTTAAAAAAAAAACAGACTTATCGACGCCTTCTTGGTTCTCAATCTTTGCTATGATTTTAATGTGCTTTCCTTTTTCACCCATAACTTTCCTTATTGTACGAATACCTTCTCTACTCCGTATGAACGATGCAAATATAATGTCGACATTCTAAAAGAACAAAAACTGCTGGAATAGTAATGAAAATAATCGTAAATGATTACAATTACTCAGAATAATTACCTGCTCGACACCAAAAAGCAAATCTTTGATATCTTTCTCCGAGACCGCTGGTAGATCGACTGGTGTACCAGGTAGATTAACACCTTTCCTACTTCCCAACATACCCCCATTTTCAACAGTACAATACAGACTGTTGCCATCTAAAAGGTTTATATTTTGATAATAATTTCCTAATTTCTATGGACGTGACACTTAAAATAATGAATTAGCGGATATTACTTTACAAAAAAAACTAAAAGTAAACTCAATTACTGAATTGAAAAAAACCATTTTCCAAGGAGCTTAAGACTGCTCAAGTAACATTAAAAATCTACATTGGCACTGCCAATGATAAATTTACGAAGCGAAAAGGGTACAAATGAAATGAATATATTAAAAAAAATATTTGACACAAATGACTGGTTTTTTTTCTGAACATTTTCGAAACAAAATTCAACAAAATATTTACAAATTTACCAATGTAATCAACAACTAGTGAGATGAGACCGTCATCGATAAAAATCTGTGAGCCAGCGCTGACCACCTTCGTGATATTTTTGTAATCTACAAATAAATCTTGAGCTGTTCCAACATTCTCCATAGATGCATCCGTGGTTAGTCGAATTTTATTCCCTTTTATTAATTCAACTTCAGCGCTCCCTCCCTAAATAAATAACATTGAGCAATTCAAAACTTCACTTTCTTCATTTTTCAATAATGAGCACTTTAAAACACTGTTTGTCATAAATAATGAATAATAAAAATGCATAACAGATCTTTTTTTTGCTATATTCTTAATTCTAAATAAATGAAAGAACGAACTCCTTCCAGAAGTCCAGTACGTATCTCCGGACCTTTCGTGTCCAAAGCGATTGCAATCAGACGTGGCTCACTGAAGCTTTGTGCAGCTTCTCGAACATTCGCGATTGTTTCCGCATGATACTATAATCCAGATATTTAATCGTAATTCTTATCTGAGACTTTTCAATATTTAATTTCTTTAATGACTCCTAAAACCAGTTACTATAAGTAACTAGCAGTAAAAGGAAAATCCGTTAACTCTTTTTAAATTACTATCAAGAAACAAAATCAGTTAATGCTTGAGTTTACCTCATGTGTCCCATGGCTGAAATTCATTCGAGCAATGTTTAGACCATTTATAATCATTTCCTGGAGCTTCTCTACACTCCGACATGCTGGTCCTTTAAATAACAATTCATGCTTGATTGAAGTAATAATTACGATTCATTAATAACGAATAAGCTTTCATTATCAATTTTACACAATAATTCTTCCCCAGTTTGACTCAAATTCTTGAATGACCATTACCAATAGTGCAAATGATGCCGGTTTTTCGTACCAGATACGGTTGCTCGCGAATGTTCAACTTGCATAAGTGTTCCAAGTTTGTGCTCTCTGGTAGTTGGACTAATTTCTGTTCTTGCCTACAATACATTTCAGGCTTTACATGAAGAATTAAAGTACGTGAAAATCACTTTTTTTTGCTGTGTAAATTATCAGTAAGAATCAGCAACTACTTCCAGTTATATTTTAAGTGCATCTACTGAAAAAAATGTCAACACTGTCTGAATTCATTTACTAACGAAAATTTTCTAATGATGAACACTGAAGGCATGAATTCAATTAGAAATGACCAAATCCCTTTGAAAAGTGAATTTAATTTGCATATTCTTAAATAAATTGCCTTAGAGAATAAGTACATAAATTACAACTTCAGACGATTAATATAAAAAATAGACAAGTATCAATTCAGACGAAATCACAAAGATCAAACGATTAGTCATCAAAAAAGTCTGCAGTTGTAAAGTACACGTTTTCAGACAATTCTGTATGACAGCAGTACCTAACAAAGACGATCGCTTATAACGGGAAATTTTTGCTCATTCTTATATTTACTACTAGTAATAAATCAGCAACGAGACTAGCATTTATTAGTCATACTATATAATCATACTTATTCCTGTTATCATAAATGCTTGCATAAAAAAAACCACGACGTTTCCTCAAACAACAAGTTGTTACCATCACATATGCAAATTTTTAACTGTTTTAGTATATATATATATAT